GCGCCTGCGGCTCTGGTCAGTGTGCGCGTACCTTAACACTGCTAAAAAAGGGCATTTTTAAAATTGCCAAAATTTGTTTTTTTTTTCAAAATATCAATTAGTAAGCCATAAACTTCTTCAAAAAATCGAAAGGCGCATATGTTTGTCCTCACAAATCTGCAATTCTTTCCTCCATTTAACCGACTCTTAAGTTCTAATAGTTTCCAAGATGCCCATAGTAGAAAGAGCCATCATAGAAAATAATTCACCCTGTATAGAACTTTAATAAACGCGACATAAGTTTCATTGTTTGTATGACCAAACTTCGATTAAACGTTTAAAAAAGTGCAATATTTTTGTTCAACCAGTATGTCTCGTATATACTATCTCTAACCGTAATATTTCAGGACACATTTTGTAACCTTCGTCCTATTTGCGTCCTTTCCATATATTTTTAGAGTAGAGTAGTTTTAGTTTTTCTTGCTAATATTCTCTAGAAACCCACAAACTATAACAGTAATGCAAGGATAACGTATAAAATGTAGCAAATTTAGTGCAGACCATTATAGTGCACTATACGACTCTGAAAGACGAAACTTTTCAAAGTATTGTAAAAGGTATACCATTAGCGAAGATTGTTAGGAAACTTTAAACGGTTTCCGGTTCTTTGTTACTTTACTTAAAAGTTTTTGAAGGAATATCGTTTTAATGCATCTTGTTAAAATAACCTGTAAAAGGATTTCTCATTCCGCCGTAAGTTAAACTTATTAACTTCAAGAAAATAGATCGTTTGTACTTTTAGAGTGAAGGCGAATAAAGAATATAGAATCGTATAGGCATAAGGCAAATTTAGACATATAAGCCAATCAGATTAGAGGGTTCACTTGGAAAAAAGTGTTGGAAAGCTAATTATGTGTTGATTTGTTCAGTTGACATGAAAGATAAGTACCTTAGTTCTGCACAGTTGCTCGACCGCCGCGCCGCTCGACTCAGGAGGACCAAAAGATGGTAAAATTCTTGGACTTTTTTCATATTTTTGCCTATAATTCCGAAACGTTGCGTATTATAAAATTGAAGACCATTAAATTCTGTATATAGTGAGTATCAATTCGTTCAATTCGGTCCAGTATCAGTAGTATGGCAGAAATCGAAAGATGAAGAATGGTTATATTTACCTATTTTGCTGATAAACGCATTAAAGTGACATTGAAACGTTCGTCACAAGGAAACGATTATTCTAAATAATAAACCACACAATAAAAGTTACAGAGCATCAAATTAGAATTTTACATCAAGTAATAAAGTAATACATGCCGAGAAAATACAAATTTTCGCGTTCCGTCGTCCAACAATTCTGCCTAGAATGAGTATCAATTCGTTCAATTCGGTTCAGTATAATATTAGGTTAAGTTATTATAATAATCGGTTCAGTTCATATAATAGATAGTTAAAAATATTTATTTTTACCAGTTTTACCACTTCAAAAGAGCATTTCTTATCCAACGACCGTAATAAAAAACGTCTAATTAGCATGGTCCATAAAAAGCTAGATAATGAAGGATTTATTGTAAAAGTAGTAGAGGAAGATGCTGATAACTCATTGTTACGACTGCAATTGACTTATCAATTGTTATCCATCAGTAATAAGTGTTGGAGAGGACACAGATCTGTTGGTCCTACTCACAGCATTAGCACCTACCACCTCAAAGATTGCACTAATGAAGCCTGGGAAGGGTACGAAAGAAAATTATTTGTACTCTCCCGGACACTTCAAATACTCGAAAAAGTCTCGGAGTTTAAAATCAAAAATTCTGTTTTGCATGCTTTCAGTGGATGTCATTCCACGTCATAATTGTATCAGCAGAGGAAAATTAAGTTTGTGAAAACTTTGGACAAAAACATAGACTTAGAGGATGCTGCGTTCATCTTCAAAAATAATAAGGCTTGTGCTGACGAGATGTTGCAGGGATAAAATACCTTGTAGCCATTTATGGTGATCCTCGGAAAACATACTTTATTAGACGATATAAGATACGATATGTTCACCAAAGTAGTAGCCAAGACAAACATGAAGATAGCAGTCCTATATACATAGTGTCATTGAAATGGTGTAAAAAAACATAAATAGAAACTACCCTTTCCGCTTTTCCAAATAATTTTTCAGTATCACCATTTGATTTAGGGTCAAAATTTATGGCAGAGCATTTTTTTTCGAAATTTTATCTCGTATTTTAAGCCTACAATTTCAAAACAACCGTTTTTTTAAATTCACCCTTTCAGTGCCCCTAACTCCCTTAATATGCATTTTCCGCCCTATACTTATAGGAACTTTTTTTACTATTTTTAGGAGTACTATCACCCCCCGATTTGCCGAACACAAAATTTCGTTAGACAAATTTGTTTAACCAGTAAAAAGTTATTGACAAGCTAGTTTCCGTCTGGATTATACCCAGTGCTATTTTACAAAAAAAAACTTTATTTTTTAGATTTCTATTTCAATGGCGAAATTTTTTCAAGAATGAACCCGCCATGAAGATATAGACATTTGCTGTCCCCCATTCGCAAATTTCAAGTTCCAGAGCTTTACGCCCTGGGCTACTCAAAACGGTTCTGAAAGGAGCTATGCGCGATAGCATGGTGCCTCCATATGGCGCGGAACAGTTCTGAACTTTATGACTCAATGCATAACTGCGTGAATGGACAGCACAACTGCGTGAATGGAGGACAGTAATTATCGTGATTGTGGCTTAAGAAGAATACTTCGTATATATTATGTAATATTAGCAAAATTTAGTATAAAATAATTTTAATGTTAATTAAATGTACAGGGTGTCCCACTAAGAATAGCTCTCGGCTGTATCTCGGAAAGTATTAGCCGTAGGGGCTGCGGAAAAAAATATTAATAACTAAAGAAGCTATGGGAAATTGCTGGAAATTATTTTGAAGTTTATAGAACGACCGCTAGGGGGCGCAACTCCAACAAAAAATAAGAAAATGGAGTTTTTACACAATTTTGCCTAGATAAGGTGTACTATAAGTAATAGCTTCATAATCTTCAGTAAATTTTGAATATTTTTTGTTAGAGCCATTTTCCCTTATCTACCAAAATAAAGTGGTGGGGAGAGGTTAGATCTGTTTTTATTTAAATATTAATAACTCTGGACTAGATGATCGGAATCCAACAAGCGAGGGCTCGTTTAAAAGAGCGTTTCTTACTCTATATTGCACCATAAAAACAATAACAATAAGCTTTTGAACGTAGACGCTAGGGGGCGGGGCGTTGTCTTACAACTTAACAAACATTGTGCGTTTTTTTCAAAAAAAAATTAAATGCAATAGTATATGTAATTTTAGCTGATGGTAAAGAGTAGTAAAAGCTTAAAAAGTCAGCGAAAACCGCATTTTGATATCTTCTTTCAAACCGACGATATTAGCAAAATAATAATAAATAAATATAATAACACGGTATCAGTAGACCTCTTAATTATACCCATTCTAACAAAAAAAAAAAGATAGAAACAGTTTATTTTAAAATCGACGAAATTATTTTAATATTTAAAATATATTATTTTCCTATTAGTAGGCCGTGATAAATAACAAAATAAATGGCATTTACTAAAATAGTCGTACACATATTAAACATTTATTTGGAATTGATATATTTTTCTTTTGAATCTCTTGAATATAATTTTCTTTTTTTTTTCAACGAAAATTATTATAACGGGATGAGTTTACAAATATTTAAAAGCCTGTATTATAAAAGCATTTTCCTGGTGCTCGACATTGTGTTAGTTGCCACGATATATTTCATATTTCAAAAGTCCATAAAATCAGAAATCGATAACGGACAAATCCGGGAATCAGGGAGACCATCATATGGGTCCATTGGTTCCAATTCGAGTTCAGAAATAATAATTTAACAAAATTCTAATATTTTCGTTGTAAGTTAAATTGTGAAGGGGAGCCCCATCTTGCTCAAAGTATATTTCACGTAAATTAACTAAAGGAATATTTTAAAAAAAATAAAATTCCGATACGATAGCTTTCAAGATTTGCAAATAGCGGTAAAAAGTTAAGTTTAATAAATATAATATATAAAGAATTATTAGTGGCCCCCAAAGTAAAACAAGAGACAGACAGCAGTATATTTTTAATAATTCTCTAGTTTCTTTTATTATCTATCATGGCCTACTAATAAAAATGATCTTTTAATATTTTTTTTAATATTGCAGCAAATGATGAAAATAAATGTAGAGTGATATATATTTTTGAGAAGCTTATGGCAAGCCAGATCAGATAATTTATAAATATACAGGTTGTCCTATTTAAAAAAAACATAACTATAGTTCATATCTTCAAAAATATTCTTTTCGTAGAATAAAAGACTACGCCACTGCATTCTACGTAAAAAGTTCTACAATAAACAGTTTTCACCTTCTCGATACCTTTAACAATAACAGAGATACAGGGGGTGTCCCAAATTGCAAAATTTTCAAAAAGACCCTGTAGCTCAGAAACGAACAGGACTATGAAAATTTTGTTTACGGCATCTTCCGTTTGACAAAAAAGTAGCACAGGTTTGTGCAAACTGCACCCTTCTATCTTCACGAATAACGGAGATGCCGTATGATTTCAACCAAAATGGGACACAAAATGAGAGGACCTAAATATGCCCTGCTGCAGAACATAATAGAAGGAAAGATAAAGGGCAGAAGGAGCCAAGGAAGAAGAAGAACATCATGGCTCAAGAATTTGAGAGAATGGTTTGGAATGACTTCAAACCAGTTATTCAGAGCAGCCGTTAACAAAGTTAGAATTGCCATGATGATTTCCAACCTCCATTATGAGATGGAACCCGAAGAAGAAGAAGGGACACCTTGTACACTACAATACCCCAGTGTATTTACCCCTCGTGAATTACCTATCAACATTTTTAGGGATAAATATGCCACAATTTCAACAACGCTCAAAACTAGATATAGTTTATAAATTAGTAGTATTTTATAAAAATCCAGACTTACCATTCGATCAGCCATGAAAAGGGGATCATCTTCATAATATAGCCTAATCATGTTCTTGTGACTATTGACAAAGTATAAGTTCCTATTTCTGACCAGCAAGAATTTCTTTTCGAATTCGGATTGGTCTTTTTTTCCACGTTTTTCTATATCGTCGATAGTTGGATAATCGTCGTGTTGTTTAACATAAACGGTGGAGCAGTAGACTGGATTGATCTCACCGTCCAAATCAATTTCTATTTCCTAAAAAAATAGAGGAACTAATTAATTATACAACTGGGGAACAACTAGTGATGAGTAAATGCAAGACTCTTTCATCCAAGTCGATGTCCAAGTCTTGCACTATTTAATGAGTTTTTACTAAAGGGACTTTCTACATAGAAAATCTTTAAATAAATAATAATACAGGGTCCGGCAATAGTACCTCGGGCATCTGTAGCTCCTATAATAAAAAAGTTAGGAATTTTGTTTAAGTGCAAACCTAAAGTATGTATTAGGATGTATTTCAGGAAAATATTCTAACTTCTACAGGGTGGCTCAAAAAAGTGTGAGTGGATCGGGATGATTTTTTTTAAATGGAACACCCTGTATATCATTGTATTTTTGGATGTCTTTTTGATCACTTTATATAATCCTAAGATATTATTAAATATGCTTTGATGGTTTCAAAGATATTAATAAATAAATAAAAAAAAATTTCAGCCTTTTTTAAAAAAATTACTAAAAATACACGAAATGTCCTGAAATCAAAACTGTATTACGTATTTACTGTAGTGGGCCTGTACTTATTTTGCTACAAATATCGTATTCTTAAACTTTATAGGGTGTTCAAAATTTTATGCCAAACTTTCTAAACTATCAAATATTTTTTCTTAGTTTTTTTAAATGGAACACCCTATATATTATTTACAGTAGAACCCCGATTATCCGTGCGCGCTTTATCCGGGAGGCGGATTTTCCGTGCGGCATTTTAAATTGATCATCCGTGCGCAGATTATCCGTGTTTAATGGTCAGAGGTTAGCGCATGAACGCTGAATGCACAGTGGAAGCTCTGGTGGAAGCGTTCGTCTCGGGGAATCCCCCATTTATGTATTTTCTTATTATTTTCGTTAACTGTCTACCGGCTGGTTAGTTAAACATAAACAGGCGCACAAAATGCAGGGTACCGATGCTAATGAAAAGCGTAAACTCAATGTTTTAATTATTGAGCAAAAAATGGAAATTTTGAAACAATTTGAAAATAACATAGGTGTTGCTGTGTTGGATAAAACATACAACATTGAAAAACAAACGGTTCATGACATTGTGAGAAAAAAAAAACGAATTACAGAGCTTTGTAGCTAAAGCTGACAAACTAAGGCTTTTAAAAATGTAAAAACGCTGCCAGTTGATTATTATAATCAAAAGGCAGCTTGGATGGATCGAGTAATTTTTAAAAAATGTTTTTTCGAAAAATGTATACCCCAAGTTAAAGCTTATCTGAAAGAAAATGATCTTCCACCCAAGGCTGTACTATTACTGGATAATGCGCCATTGCATCCTGAAGTAGAGCAACTAAAGTCAGCAGATGGGAACATATTCGTAGCATATTTTCCTCCGAATGTAACATCTCTTGCCCAGCAGATGGACCATGAAAAGGCTTTATATATTATATAGAGACCATGAAAAGGCTTTATAGGAAATGTATGTATGCTTCAGCTGTTGGGAGAATGTGACTGTATGGGATTTTGGAAACGTCTTAATTTGAAAGAGGCAATTTATGCTATAGCTCGCGCTTGGAGTGAAGTTAAAGCAACTACAATTAAAAAAAGCATTTTATACAATAATGACCCTAGAAGATACAACAGATGAAGACGGTACTGAAGACGATAATGACTTAAAGGAAGGGGTGCTATCGATCGAAACCATAGCATCTATAGCCTCGGAAATCAATGGTTTGAAAGAAATCGACCATGAAGAAATACAGGATTGGATAGCATGTGATCACGAAGAAACAGATTATCAGATCATGGATGACGATTATCTAAATAACAGGACTTCTGCAGAAAGTTTCTCCAAAAGTAGTGATCACGATGATGAGAATAACTGCATCATCGAGACAAGTCATCGAGAAGCAGGGGATGCAGTAAATGTACTTATCCGATATTTTGAAGAACAGCATGGAACTGATAACATTCATGTGCTTCAGCTTGGAAAAACGAAGGAAATTATAAAATGTAGAAGTTACGAAGCCCTAAAACAAACAAAAATTTGTGATTTTTTAAGAGATTTTTTCACATACATTTATGTATATATATTATGTACTCGTACTACATAATACATAATAATATATATAATTTATTGTTTAATGTACGTTTCTAATGTATAGGTATACATTGCATATTATGTAGAAATAATAAAACTTTTATTTTTTGTTACATGTACATATGTTGGATCGCGTTTCTTTTCGTTTTACACATGTACTCTTTGTCGAAAAAGATTTAAAAAAAATAAAAACAAGGTCTTTGAATTATCCGTGTTTTCGATTATCCGGCGAAGGCTTGGTCCCGGCTGGCCCGGATAATCGAGGTTCTACTGTATTTGCTAAATAGAGAATTAAAAAATGAACAGTTTTTCTATTTAAAGTGTTTCAAAAAATTTAACGCTTTCTCAGATATTCACGGTTTTACATTTCATATGGCATGTTTAACAGTAATGTTTTATCAAAGCCACCCAATGATGCCATTTTACCGTTGAAAGAGCCATATGTAATAAAACCGCGAATATTTGCGAAACCGCTAAAAATATTGAAATACTTTAGATACAAAAAATGTTTGTTTTTTAATTCCCCATCTAACAAAGAAATAATATACAGGATTTTCCATTAAAAAAACGAAGAAAACCTATTTTATATTTTAAAAAGTTTGGTATAGAATTTTGGATACCCTGTATGGTTTAAGATTACGATATTTGTGTTAAAGTAAGCACAGACCAATTACAGTAAATACCCGATATAGTTTTGATTTTAGGACATTTCTACTATTTTTAATAATTTTTTTAATAAAAGGCTGAAAATAATTATTTTTTTATTTATTTTTTAATAGCGAAATCCAAGAATCACAGTTTATGGTCCATGATACAGTCCATGCTACAATATTTGCAGTTGCGCTAAATGCGGTGGTATACGTTTTTACCATAAAGCAGGCATGCATTAATCATTAACTTGCAGTTAATGTCTAAACAGCCCTGGGTGCACTAGTGCTCTCCAATGGAAGACAAAGAGTCACGATGAAATGAAGACTTGAAAGATAACATAAGGACCCTTTAATATTACCATCATTAACATCAAAGGTTAAATTTAGACTTTAATTTAATTTTAAACACGAAAATACAATATGAAAAATAATATGTTAATTTAACATTCTACAACTCCTAAAAGGTTGGACCTATGAAAAAAATGCATTCAACCAATATTGGATAAGAATTTTCTGAACTTCAATTTCCTGCATCGGGTATTTTCTAGTAGGTGTCATATTTTCCGAGATATAAGCTAAAAAGTCATAAAAGTGACATTTAACCCCTCCCCTGTCCTCGAGCTCATCGTCTATCTTCGGTCCTTTTGATACATATCAACCCAAGTCTAGAGAAATCATTTAAAATAATTTTCAAAACTGTGGGATTTTTTCCACCGATTTCTCTAATTTGACTGGGCTAAATAATTAGGAATCATCCTGACTCAATAGCTTTGTTCGGGTTCTTGTTATTACCGATTCTGAACCGTCCTAGAACTGTGATGCGTATGCGCAGAAGGAAATATGAGACATTATTCAATTTGCGCATGCGCTGCAGAGTTCTAGGACGGTTCAGAATCGGTAATAACAAGAACCCGAAAAAAGCTAATATATACTCAGTTTTGTTTTCTCAGGTAAGATTTCGACCGACGATGACAGAAAATAAGCAGATGACGTCCACACCAATCTATTTATTTCACTAAAAATTGTCTAATATTTTTTTAGTTAACTATGGATGGGTTTATACCGGGTGCGTCTCAAAAGTGGCTCACCCCTATAACTTTTTTATCTTTTCAGATAAAATAACGAGATTTGGTATGATAGTATACGACATAAATTAGGATCGATTGACATATTCAATTGTTTCAGGTCACTTCCGATTTCACCGGAAATGACTACAACTTTTGATTTTTAAATAACACCCTCTTTTTTGATTTTTAAATGACACTCTGAATAGAATGACATATCATATGTCAACTTTTGACATTTTCGCATATGGTTTATTTGAAATTGTAACCTGCGGTTCATAACAAGAATTTGACTCGAAATACCATCGAAATACCAAGTGAATGGTGTCAAATTATTCGTAAAAATGCCTTTTCCAAATATGCTAATGAACCACCCTTGTTCCATTTGAAAAAATTGAGATATTATTAAAAATACGATTTGGGCATCTTTTAACCGGCCAGTACAAGACACTAAAAACATTAGACGGTCAAATCTATTTTTCGAAGGCTGTTAAAAATTAATATTTTTAACATAGCCATGACATTCTAGATTGAAATTTAAAATTCAATTTGTTTTTGAGCGAATATGTTAAAAGTTGACATATGATATGTCATTCGAGTCAGAATGTCATTTTCTATCGAATAAAGTAAAAAAATATCAAGGGTGCCATTTAAAAATCAAAAGTTGTTTTTCCTTTGAAAAATTGAAAAATTTCCGGTGAAACAGGAAGTGACCGAAAACAATTGAATACGTCAATCAATCCTAATTTATGTCATATACTAACACACCAAATCTTGTTTCTTTATCCGAATCAAATTTCTTACTAAATCTATGATCCGAATAAATAAAAAAGTTATAGGAGTGAGCCATTTTTGAGACGCACCCGGTATATAAATCCGTCGTGCGTCCTCTCTTGTTGTTTTTAACCAGTTTTATTGGTTTATTTCCAAAATGACAGATCATATTTCAACTAGTTCAATTATTTCAACTATTTCAACTATTTCAACTATTTCAACTATTTCAACTATTTCAACTATTTCAACTATTTCAACTATTTCAACTATTTCAACTATTTCAACTATTTCAACTATTTCAACTATTTCAACTATTTCAACTATTTCAACTATTTCAACTATTTCAATATTATTGGATTGACGCAATGATGAACGATTTACGTACGCATATGCGTATGAACCCGACTTTAGATTTTTGAGGCTTGTCAAACTCTTGCCAAATTATAGGTTATAATTTTGTGTCAAATTATGTCCAATACCGATTTGCAAATTGCTTTTGCATTTTGGTTCGTGTTATTAGTTGTGTAAAGTAAAGATTTCACTTAACGTCTCCTTTTTGCTGCCAGGGCTAATCTGGACGGGGCCTACTTTGTTTACGCGGAATCCGAACCGCGGTATTCGGCCATATCATGGTCAATGGCCTACCGACTTGGCAAGTGTCTTACTCACGAGATATCCGATCTCATCCGGCCTCGAACCGGCGTGAGTGAGCAGTGTGTGTCAATAAATTTTACACTTTTGCCTTTTTTTGGACAACAGCACGATACAGAGTTTCGAAACAGTCACCCGTCCATCCACTAGTATCGCCTTACGTCGCTTAACTTCGGTGTTCTAATGGGAACCGGTGTTTCGACGTAGCTGGACCGTTGCCCTATTAGTTGTGGGTTTTGTGTTTTTTCAAATTAAGTGGAAGAAAAATTGACGGAAACTTAACTGTAGACCCAGAGCACAGATTTATAGTTAATATTCGGTGCCCAGACAGAGAGTTTTATACGCAAATAAAGTTACCATCAGTAAAGTTTTTGTACCATCTTGTATATGGTACTAAAAACTGAAGTACCTGTAAAATAACATCACACAATAGGCAAATAATAAATTTTAGTACTGCAGAAACAATGTCAAAAGGTACTGGTTTAAAAAATTAAGATTAAAGTTAATTGATCAGCTTTTAAAGTATAAAATTCAGTAAGTATTAATAAAATATTTTGTTTTATTTATGTTGTGTTTTATTTATTACTGTGCAATATTAATATTTTTTATTTGCACATAAGTTATATTGATAAATAATAAATTTCACCGGAAATGACTACAACTTTTGATTTTTAAATGACACCCTCTTTTTTGATTTATAAATGACACTCTGAATAGAACGACATATCATATGTCAACTTTTGACATTTTCGCATATGGTTTATTTGAAATTGTAACCTGCGGTTCATAACGAAAATTTGACTCCAAATACCAAGTGTGTGGTGTCAAATTATTCGTAAAATGTATTATTAATAAAATATTTTGTTTTATTTGTGTTGTGTTTTATTTATTACTGTGCAATATTAATATTTTTTATTTGCACATAAGTTATATTGATAAATAATAAATGCAGAGGAAGTTTCTTGAAGCTTGAAAGTAAGAAATAGTTCTTTTTTATATTTTTTTGGTATGTGGTTGTTTAAAATACATCCTTGTTTGTTTTGCACACATATATTTTGCTTGTACACATACCGTATTTTTTTAAAATTAAATAACTCGATTAGATTTTTTCAGTTTTATACAGTTTTTTTCACAATATTTTGAAGTAATCACTTGTCACTCAAATTTTAAATATAGGTATTCAATTGTACCAACTTATTTCTTTGTAAAATAAAATAAACTACTTTGAAATTAAGACGACACACACATCTATCACTGTCAAGGATTTTGTCGTTGGACAGATTATAGTCATTTATTTTTAATTACGGCTGTGTTTTTTGTATCTTGACTGACACGCAATACTTTTAGTTCTAGTATAATAGTTGGCCTAGTCTAATAGTCGGCCCCTTTAAAAATCCTATTTAAGGGGACCCTAAAGGGACCGAATGCAAAGCGCATGCGTTTAAGAAATCGCTACAAAAAAGCTGCGCCACAGATTAAGTATTATTTCAATAGGAAATACATTTTTTTTACATAAAGCAACAATGTATTCGAGAAGAATCAAGTGTGACAACGCCATAGCCCTATTAAAGGTTCGAGATCACGGCGGCGTTTATTAGCAAGATAAAATAAGTGCCACATCTGTATAATACTTAATCTGTGGTAATACATTATAAATCAGAATTTTACTATACCCGACTACCGCCGCCTTGGCTGATGCTTTGCTTCGATGTTATTTTTTCTGCATTTTTGGCCCTGTTGGTCAAGAAAAGATCGTCTACACGTATGAACGGCGGATCACGACGTAAAATTGAAAAATCGATGTTCAATAACGAAATGTAATGTACGAAATATTTCTGAAAAATATAGAAAAGAAAAATTAATTATTTAACAATTTCTTGGGGGAAAAATTAACGTGCAAGCTAAATTTAAGATTACATACACCTTAAATTTGGCTAAAACAATTTTTTAACACATGTAAACAAAATAATAACGTTTCCAAGGGGAAGCGATTCAATAAAGGTAATAAAAAAAGTCGAAAACTATTTAAAAAAAAATTATTTAACAATTTCTTGGGGGAAAAAATAATGTGCAAGCTAAATTTAAGATTACATACACCTTAAATTTAGCTAAAACAATTTTTTAACACATGCAAACAAAATAATAACGTTTCCAAGGGGAAGCGATTCAATAAAGGTAATAAAAAAAGTCGAAAACTATTTTTAGAAAAATAATTATTTAACAATTTCTTGGGGGAAAAATTAACGTGCAAGCTAAATTAAAGGTTACATACACCTTAAATTTAGTTAAAACAATTTTTTAACACATGTAAACAAAATAATAACGTTTCCAAGGGGAAGCGATTCAATAAAAGTAAAAAAAAGTCGATAACTATTTTTAAAAAAAAATTATTATTTAACAATTTCTTGGGGGAAAAATTAACACGCAAGCTAAATTAAAGGTTACATACACCTTAAATTTAGCTAAAACAATTTTTTAACACATGTAAACAAAATAATAACGTTTCCAAGGGGAAACGATTCAATAAAGGTAATAAAATAAGTCGAAAACTATTTAAAAAAAAATAATTATTTAACAATTTCTTGGGGGAAAAATTAACGTGCAAGCTAAATTAAAGGTTACATACACCTTAAATTTAGTTAAAACAATTTTTTAACACATGTAAACAAAATAATAACTTTTCCAAGGGGAAGCGATTCAATAAAAGTAAAAAAAAAGTCGATAACTATTTTAAGAAAAAATAATTATTTAACAATTTCTTGGGGGAAAAAGAACGTGCAAGCTAAATTAAAGGTTACATACACCTTAAATTTAGCTAAAACAATTTTTTATAACACATGTAAACAAAATAATAACGTTTCTAAGGAGAAGCGATTCAATAAAGGTAATAAAAAAAGTCGAAAACTATTTTTAAAAAAAATTATTATTTAACAATTTCTTGGGGGAAAAATTAACGCGCAAGCTAAATTAAAGGTTACATACACCTTAAATTAAGCTAAAACAATTTTTTAACACATGTAAACAAAATAATAACGTTTCCAAGGGGAAACGATTCATTAAAGGTAATAAAAAAGTAGAAAACTATTTTTGTATGCCTACAGACATTCGAGATGTACAGGGTGAGTTAACAATAGAGTAAAGTCCATTATCTCATTTGTATCGAGATTAAAAAAAAAGTTATAGGGAAGGTTTAAGGTGCACACTTTAAAATTATCAATAACACTATTATTTATGAAGTTAGAGTATTCAACATTGGTAGGAGAGCTTTACAAAGACTAAGAAAAAGCTATAAGTAAAGACATTTGAGTTAGATGCTACAGGGTGTTCAAAATATATTTGTGAATTTCGACTATTTAAAATTAAAAAATCTCAATTTTTTTAAATAGCACACCCTATATATTTTTATTTATTTTGATAGATTTTGCAAAATTCTTCAACTTTTATGAAGTATATCATATACCTATTTTTTATAGTTAGCGACTCACTCTGAATTTTTAAATTTTACTCTTTTTTAATTCATTTATACAAACATCATATAGCTGCCATGACAAAGCAATATTTATTATGAACCATTAACAAGTAGTTATATTATTATATAATTAGTAATTAATTAATTGTTAGTATAAGCACAGATTAGTTATACTATATGTATACAGATAAAAATCTTATCCCTAATTCGTGGTACGAAAATTGTTTTTTATGACGATGTGCAAACGAGTAAAATTTCCTATGCGCAAAAATAAACTCGCGTAAAATAACAATAAACAGCGTAATAGAGAGATATCGCTAAACCGAAGAGCGTGAATGGACGTTAATAAGGCCAGGTGTTATTTCCTTTACATGAGGTGGTATTAACTCTCTTCATTTATAGTTATCGGATCGGAAAGAATTCTGTTCGCGTCGCGTCCGCTATTTAAACTTTACCTAACTTTGAATTTAAAACTTTGAAATTGTTTTGTTTACTAGGTATTTTAAAACTAAAGGGCTAAAGTGCTTATTTCCAGTGCTTCATTGTTCAACGTCTGCTAGAAAGCTTAGGGCAACAAGCAACAAATTCTCTTAGAAGGGCTAATCGTCATCTGCTGTAAACCTAAGCCTCTTTATAGGTTCTTTAATATTGAAAGAGGTGGAATCCATATTTTGGGCCATATTTATTTAATTAAAACTAATCCCAGCTACTTAAATATCAAATTACCTAATAAAACTAAAGTATTAACTCAAAACAATTCAAACATAACTTAAAATAAAAGGTCTCGCCGCTCGCCGGTCGGCCGCGATTGTCAAATGTACCCGCACATGCCATTAAACGTTATTTAGAAATAGCGCTTGGTGTAATTGATCCGCAAATTACGTCAGGCGGTAACGTTATTAGCGGGTGTTGCGTTAAAAATTGACCCGCGCATATCGTAACGTGTCGTGACCATGATAAGGTACGCGTAAATACTGCATGACGCTATTCGGTTTTCCGATATCTCTCTAATAACTGTGCCGGTCAGGGGCTGTGCACAATTTTAGAGATCATTAGTGGGTGTGCTATGTGCGCAAACTAGTAATAAGTAACTAGTGCCCGATTCCGAAAATTGGAACCACGAAAGACTATAAAGAAAAAACAAAGTTTATAATCTGTATGATCTGTGGTATAAGTTTATATTAATTCATGGCTTGTTCAGTATATCGGTTATATTAATTGTAATTAATTTTCAAGAAAATGTGTAACTACACTCACCGGCACGAAAAATGGGCACCTTAAAATTTTTATGTATTTATTCAAGTTTTATATATTGTGTTCTAGTAGACCGATTTTGATAATTTTTTAAGCAATTTGTAACTAAGATATTTGACTTTTTAATATCTCGTTTTAAATTAAAAATGTAAGCTGCCCTCTGTAAATTATACTAGAGAAAACAAAATGTTGATATTTTGGTGAAAGTTTGAAACACCCCGTAGAATATGTTAACAAAGCAAGGAATTTAAAAATGATTGTGTAAAACCTCTGACGAGGGGTAGGGGACTCAAGGGACACAACCTTTTTAGGATGTTTATTTCAAATTTTAATTTGATTCAAAAATGGGGCGACCTTTTTCGGGATTCATTTAATTCCCATCTTCAGGCCCAGAAAGCTAAAATAATCAAATTACAATCAGAATAGTAAACAATTCTAATATAGTCATATAGAGGTCAAGTTATAAAATACAATCACAAACAAATTAAAAAGGTTAAACATTTTTTAAAATGGTTAAAAATTATTTTTATCACAATTATTTAATCACAGACATATCCTATGGCAAGCTTAGTTTCAAATTAAAACAACTAAATTACAATCAGAAAGGGCAATAATACTAAATTTAAGTTCAACAAGAGGCCTAACTTAGACCTGTTCGATGTTGAGATTTGAACACCAGTGTTAGTTGTTGATGACCACCGGTGTTTCAGTCGGTGTACCGATGTCAACACCGACACCGGTGTTTATCTCAACACCGGTGTTCATTTCAACACCGGTGTTTATCTCAAAACCGGTGTTTATCTTGACACTGGTGTTTATCTCAACACCGGTGATTACCTCGACACCGGTGTTTATCTCAAAACCGGTGTTTATCTCAACACCGGTATCGCGGTGAACACCGGTATCGAGATCAACACCGGTGTCGGTGTCGATCGTCGATGTCGATGGTGCCGTTTGTTTGTTTTTTTAGTTTTTTAATGTAATATTTTTTAGTTTATTTTACAGCTACGAATTTTTGTTTATGTTTTGTTTTGTTTTGTTTTCTATTTGTTTTTGATTAAACAATTTTTTACTTTATAGTTGTTTATCTGACGCTTCTACTTTATTTTAGTGATTAGTCTGACATAAAAATTATATTTAAATTTTAAAGTTTAAGTTAAAGTCGGTGCGCTTTAATAAACTACAAAAATAAGCACCGATACGACATTATTATTATCAGGTTTATTTTGAACTTATTAATTATCATTACTTCTTCTTTAACCCGTTTTCAAAACACCGGTGTCAATATCAAAACCGGTGTGGTAGTCAAAACCGGTATCGAGATGAACACCGGTGTCCAGACCAACACCGGTGTCGAGATGAACACCGGTGTTGTAGATGAACACCGGTATCGAAATGAACACCGGTGTCGGTATCAACACTGGTGTCGGTGCCAACACCGGTGTCGGTGTCGATACCGGAACACCGGATAGTCTATATTTGACTACCGGTGTGAGCCCAACACCGGTGTTAAAACGGTGTTCCGGTGTTTGGAACAGGCCTATCTAACTAAACAACAATTTTTAGAAAAGGTTGGGAAAATCCTTTCAAGAACTTTCTAGGTGAGGGGAGCCATATTATCCATTGTAATTAGTTTAAATGGCGGAGAAGGAGCATAATAAGACAGTATTTATATTATATTCTAATGCATTATTCAAAGAAATTTACTTATATATTAGTCAAAGGTATTTTGTAGGATATATTTTCTATTTTTAGTTATGTTAGAATAAGTTAAGAGTTATAATTATTTTAATTTGTATATAAAGATATTTAATTTTTATTTTAATTGTGTTATTTAAAATTAGAGCATACTCACACAAAGGTCACACCAGGAAGCAATATCACTCGGAAAAAATAAAACAGTTGGATTGTTAAATTGTTAAAATAATTTTTTCATCTAGATCAGCGTTTCTTAACCTTTTTCAGTTCGCGGACCCCTAAAAAATCAAGCACAATTTCTAGGACCCCCCTAATTTAAAAAAGACAGAAATTTTAGGACAAATTATTTTAGTTAGTTAGATTAGTACAAAAAAATACATTTTTATAAAAAATCAAATGTTTATAGATAAGACG